GTCGAATGGCCTTTTTTTTTTTTTTACAAAAATAATGTTTCGAATAATAATTTTTAGGAGAATGTGTGATTGAAAAGTAGAATTTTTTTTGAATTTATTTGTAAAATATTTTGTTGTGTGAATGTTTGATTGAAAATGATTATGTAGAAAGAAGAGTTTTCAAATAATAATTGTCAAGCATGCACTAAATATGCATTGAAACTATTAATGGACAAAATTATGCTTATTAATATTTTTAATTTTTTCTACACGTCAATATATTTACAAAAAAATATATATAATAATTCTAAATATATTTTAACAAAATAACACGCGGTTTTATACTTTTAACAAATAGATTTTCAGAAATATGATATATAATTATGCCACCATAATTTAATTGAAATATTAATTTTAAGATTTTATAAGACATCAAAAATATGAAATATACAAAAAATAATCGAAGTTTAGTCAAATAAATGTATAATATATGTATCTCCTAAACACTTTGATGATATGACATACAATAATAAGTTGTGGGAGATAATAATTAGTTATAAAACTGAGTACACCATTACACCACTTATATTGTCGTGTGCCACTGTGACATGGTGCTTAATATAAGCTAAGTATCAGCGTTTAGGAGATCCATATTTCTTTTACGTGCAAAGGTGTATCAATATGCCCCATATTAAATTTATTTTAAAGTATTGAATGTTATAATTCAAAGTCCTCGCGATGAACAGGGCAAGGAAATGAGAGATATTATTTCATAAAAGTGTGTTTGATGCACATTAAAATGATAGGAATGTATTTAAACACTACACTACTACTTATACACCAACTTTTTCTTCTTTGTTAAATTGATGTGATGAAAAATATTATTTTATTGAAAAATGTATGGTTGAAAATAAGAATGATAATAAGAATGTGGCTCAAATAGGGACTTATAAGAATAAAATCAAACCCTAAAATAGGCAAGTTGCCCATGCATTTCGATTTGGTATTTGTAAATTTGTTAGTTATAGATAGTTGTCCTTATCTCATCCATTTATCTTTGAGAAAATTGCATCCAATGTCAAGTTTCATAAGTGGCATTTTATGTTAAAAAAATTTAATCGATCATGTGGGTTTATATGTGAATTATTATGTATTAAATTAAATGTTATCAATTTTGGTTAAGCCCCCGTTTATAGTGATCTAATAAGGTTTCGATATTATGGATTTTGTAACATCTAATTAAAATGTGGATATTTATGTGTAGAGATCAGACTCATTCCTAATTTCATGATAGGTCGAATTAGGTTAACAGGCCGTTAGTATATATATACGGTTATAATCCCCAGACATACGTGAATTGTTCTTTCTATTTTGATTCCCATTATCATAGAGAAATAAAAGAACAAAGTGTTGATTTGGAAGACTAAAACCGTAGGACTCATTCGTTGCATTAACCATGTCTGATTTAGGTATGTTTCCGCTTTGATTCATGAATTCTTGATGATCCAAAATGAACGATTTAATTTTGTTAAATTTGAAAATTCTTTGGTGGTTTTCCATGATTCCAGTCCAATTTTTAAAAAAAAATCATGTTGCCGGAGACGACGATTCCGGAATTAGTTTTGTTAAATTTGAAAATTATTCGGTGGTTTTCCATGATTTTAGTTCAGTTTTTAAAAAAAATCCATGATTTCGTTGCATTAACCATGTCAAAAGGTGCACCGCATGATGTTGTACGCAGCGCAGCGACGACAGACGTCGCTACAACAGAGAGCAACACTCACTTCTATGGTATACGCAGCGGCAAGCACTGTTTCAGTCACTAAGGGCAGCGTCGGTGAGTGTCGCCCTTGGATCCTTCCTCGTTATTAAAATTTAGGGCTTGGGTGAATTTTTGTGGGTGGGGCTTCAGTTGAAAATTTGAAGATTTCAAGTCCTTGCTTGCAATTTCAGATTAGGGTTAGGGTCGCAATTTTAAAAATATTTTTTTTAATAATTCAGCCCCTTAAATTTAAAATTCATCCAATTGGACCTTTAAAGTTCTAGGTTTAATAATCCAGTCCCTGAAGTTTGAAAATTAATTAATTTGGGACATTTAGGTTCTGAATTTTGTAATTAGAACCCTCCAAGTTTTTAATTTATTCAAATTGGCCCCTAAATTTTTGAATAATTAATATTTTACCCCTAAAGTTTTTAGATTATTAACCCTTAGGCCCCTAAAGTTATAAAATAAATAAAATATTCAAATTCAGTGATTTTCTTTCAAATTTTGGTACGAATGACTCTTTCGGCGATTTTTTTTTCAAATTTTGGTACAAAGTGCTCTGTTGAGAGGTATAATA